GGGGTTGTCCAGCACAAGTGCTGAAAGGGAAAGCAGATCAATTGGAATCGAGGACAGAAGTATGCATTTTTATTGGATATCCAAAAGGAACTAAAGGCGATTTATTTTATTGTCTCAAAGAAAAAAAGGTAATTGTTACGACAAATGTTAAATTTTTAGAAGAGGACTATTTAATGAACCATATTCCTAAGTAAACTAGTTTTACAGGAATTAAGTAATGGAGTAACTAATGACTCGTCTCTGGAACGTATCCCGGAAGCCAATATTGACATACCAATTCATTATCGTAGTAGGAGAAATGTCAATAGGTATCAGAACGCACAAGAGCAATTGCCTGACATCTCACTACCCCAAAGTAGTGAGAGTAATGTTGAGCAACCTCAGATTGTTGAGCAATCTAAAATTGTTCTGCAATTTTCACTTCAGGAAGAAATTAATGATATCCCAGCACCGCAAGGTGTGGAGGATAACACTGAGGCTTTAGTTCCAGAAAATGATATTGTGATTCAATAACAAAATCAGACTGCACCTGTAGTGACTAGTCGTAGTGGGAGAATTATTAAAAAACCTATCCTGTTTGGGCTTTTGGGAGAATCTTATGATAGAATCCCTGAAGAGCCTAATTTAGAACCTTTAAATTACAACGAAGCACTACAGGATATAGACGGTGATAAATGGGTTGTTGCTATGAAATCTGAAATGGAGTCCATGTACTCCAATCAAATCAGGAATCTTGTAGAACCACCTACTGAAGTCAAACCCATTGGTTGTAGATAGATCTATAAGAAAAAGAGAGGAGTGGATGGAAAAGTGCAAACTTTTAAAGCTAGGCTTGTTGCAAAAGGGTTTACTCAAAAAGAAGGGATCGGTTATGAGGAAACCTTTTCGCCAGTAGCCATGCTTAAATCTATTAGGATTCTCTTATCCATTGTTGCTCATTACGATTATGAGATTTGGCAAATGGATGTTAAAACAGTTTTTCTTAATAGAAGTCTTGATGAGTGCATCTATATGGCACAACCAGTTGGTTTCGTAAAAAGTGGCAATGAGCACATATTGTGTAAATTAAAAAAATATCCATTTATGGATTGAAACAAGCTTTTAGAGCATGGAATACTTGTTTTGACATATCGATTAAAACCTTCTATTTTGATCAATGTGAAAACGAGTCTTGTGTCTATAAGAAGTGGGATGGAGATAAAGTTACATTTTTGATTTTGTACGTAGATGATATTTTGCTCATGGGAAATAATGTGAGCATGTTGAATTCAGTAAAGGAATGTTTGTCCTCGCATGTTGATATGAAAGACTTGGGACAAGCGGCACATAACCTTGGGATCAAGCTTATGCGAGATCGCAAGCGAAGGATATTAGGCTTATCCCAAGCACTTTATATTGATACTATTCTCACCAGGTTTAGCATGCAAGATTCCAAGAAAGGTTTTCTTCCTTTTAGGTATGGAATCTCTCACTCAAATGATCAGTCCCCAAAAATGATTGATGAGATAGAAAAGATGAAGGCGGTCCCTTATGCTTCTGTTGTAGGGAGTTTCATGTATGATATGTTATGTACTAGACCTGATATCTGGTTTGATGTTGGCATGGTTAGTAGATTTCAGTCTAATCCTGGATGAGAATATTGAACTGTCGTTAAACATATAATCAAGTACCTGAAAAGGAATAGATATGATATGTTGGTTTATCACTCAGGTGATCTTGTACCCATTGGCTTTACTAATTCAGATTTCCAGTCAGATAGAGATTGTAGAAAATCTACCTCAGGATATGTTTTTACCTTAGGAGGTGGAGCCATAAGTTGGAGGAGTATCAAGCAATCATGTGTTGCTGATTCCACCATGGAAGCTGAATATGTAGCTGCATCTGAGGCAGCTAAAGAGGCTGTTTGGCTTGAAAACTTTTTAAAAGAGCTTAATGTAGTTCCTTCGGTTCATGCACCGATTGTACTTTATTGTGACAATAGTGGTGCAGTTGCAAACTCGAAGGAACCAAGAAGCCATAAAAGGAGTAAGCATATTGAGCGTAAATATCATTTAATTCGGGACATAACTCAGAGAGGTGATGCAAGAGTATTGAAGATTGCGTCAGAGGATAATTTGGCATACCCGTTTACAAAGAGCTTACCACATAAGAGTTTTGACAAGCATGTAGAAGGAATGGGTGTTAGAGTTGTAGACGCATGATTATGAGTCTAAGTGGGAGATTGTTGGGATATACTATTAACCATGCAGTTTAGACATAGTATTGTGTTTTATTCTTTATGAAATAATTATTTATTTAATTTATTCAATTCAATAAAGTACTATTTTAAATAGATCATTTGTTACATGTATGTCCTTTAGTTATGTAGTAGACAATTTAGTGTATGGAGTCTTAGCTCATGCACAGAAGATTAAATTGTCAGTTCTCATAATTAATAAACTATGTTCACAATCAAAGATATTATTGGGCAAAATATCTTGATGATTGTAGCACCGGATTATAGTATAATTTTTCTTGATTATGGGAATGGTTTTACTCTGATTTCTTGGGCTAGTATACTTAGTGTATATTGACCGGACCAAGTAGAGAAAAGATGTTTTTGTGCTGAATATATATAAAATATTTTCTCTAATTCATTAAATGATCTTATACTACTAATCTTGATATAGTTATTATGATCAATGTGATTTGTTTATTGTTTTGATTTATCAAAAGGTACAACTCTATTCAGAGTTAGTGTATGTCTAATAGATTGGACAATAACGATTAGCATTTGTGAAATAATAATTAGTTGATAGAATCCATGACTCGGATTTGAGTTTGATGATACCCCTTTATGTTATCTTATAAGTATTTCATGTGAAAACCCGACCGGTGAATTTTGTATCCGTCAGATGAAATAGTTTAAGCGGAATTATAGAGGATTTAATTAGTTGATTAAATTAAAATATCAGTGATTTAATTTAATTAATTGTTATTTGTGATCTTAACATGAGGAGTTAAAATAAGTGTTAGTGAATTTTCGAAATTCAGATTGAGGAGTTCAGTTACAGTTTTTTAGTGGAATAAACTGCAATTAATTATAGTAAGAATTAATTCATCCAAATTTTGAATTAATACTATAATTGGTAGCCTCTTACTATTTTTGTGGTCCCTGCTATACCTAATAAAAATTTGGACTGACTTGGGTAAAAAGTGACTTGGGAGAATAGTCATCCTGTTGAGTTAGAGTATGATTCTACTTGCACAAGTAGAATCCTACACGTTTTTGGAGCCATCTAGGGCTGAAAAATGAGTCTACATAAGGAAGACATTTTTCATGTACTTTTCAGAGTTGTATTGTTCTTGCCCACTCAAAGTAATTTCGTCCAAGGTTTTACTAGGACCATAGTAAAAGACTGCAGCCCTGGATTCTTGCTCTGTGGAGGACCTGCGCAACAATTTCAAGAGGTTAGTACTTCTAATCTTGTAATGATATCATTGTCTAGTTTACATGTATGTGATGCCTGTATTGTATGTTTGCTTCCGCTGCGCATGTTCTAACAGTTGCAAGAGTTTACAGAGCTAAAAGATTACCTACTGATCGACCTAGTTGATTGAGACATTCACCAAAGCTTAGCCGCGGTGACCCTTCTCGCCTAAATAAATGAAATGGAAGAAGCAATCAACAAACTCTTTGATTGATTCATGGAGTAGCGAAGCCAAATTCAATCAAGGCAAGAACGCTAACTTAATTATCCTAAGACTGATTATCATGTTCGAATGTAGGAAGAAAAGTTATCAGATTTCATGAAGACATGGCTAGCTAGCTGCCCATGTTTGTGACTTGGAACTAAATAGTTGTGTAAGTTATGTCTCATCACCATCTGATTTTTGCTTATATCCGTATAGATAAAAGAATGTCTAGCTTCAATAACCTAAAGAATCATTTTCACGAAGAGAAAATCAGCATCTCTAAGGTTATGTTCTTCCACTGCCAAGAGTAATGAAGGTTCCACAAATATCTCCATGACATGATCATGCAAAGCCATAGAAACATGGTTGTGAACAACATAGTTGGAGCAAGAATTTAAAGCTAACTTAGGGGCTCAGATTCTGGTCATTTTAAGTTATTGGGCACTTTAGCTCCGCCGGCCTCTGATTGTGAATATTTGGATTCTTTGTTAAATAAAGCAGCATTATTAGGTCTTCTATCTATGAACAACATTATTCCATAGCTGTAGACATTTCTAATATTGAAGCTACAGTGCTTGTTAGCTTAGCGAAGTGAAGTACTGAGTCTGACCAATCTATATACTTAGTTATTAAAAATCAAGCATGAGTCAGCCAAGGGAATCAGAGAAAGGGCAGTCAGTACACCATGTAAGTACATATTCAAACCCCAGGTCAAAGGATTTTTTTTTTCCTTTTATATACCACTCACACGACTCGTCACTTATGGTAAAATCTTTCCCCCATTGGATGTTCACACTAAATGTTTGCGCATAAAGTTATATTGTATTACTTAATTAATGTACATATTTTCTCTTCATTAAATGATTAGTTGAATTTGTTTGTAGTAAACACTTAATATTTACCGTCACTAACAAATTTACGAAAAGGAGAAAAAAATGTACTTTTTTATCCAAAAGGAAGATGCGAGGATCAGTGAACGAACCAGTCCAGTTGTAGGTCCACAAGGTGACCCAAAAACTAACATTACGAGAAAGATGTGGAGGAGCAAAAGTCAGGGCCCTTTTAAGCTAAGTTGTAAAAACAAATTCGTGGTAAGAACGTAAACTCTGATTTACCTAAATGTAAGCGTTACCTTAATTAATTTGTTGCAGTTCCAAGAAGAGGGAAAAAAAAAAAGAAGACATTTTCCATTACTCATTTGAGATTCCAATTAACGTTAAAGATTGAATTCCTGGTCATTGAAGCCACCTGGTTCTTGATCCGTGGTATTGCTCTCACTGGACCCCACACCCTGCACTCTTGTAGTATAAAATTATAACCCCACACTCCACTCCTTAATAGCCACCAATCTATTTTTACCACAGTTTATACCCAACAGTGTATTTTTGGAACAATCATAATCACCATTCTCATTTTCTTCCTCTGTTTTTCTTGAACGCCAGTTGGGAAAAGCTTCAAATTTTAGATATGGAGTCCTTAACAGGATCATCTGTAAAAGGGGTTTGTTTGGACAAGATTATAGACAAACATAGAGGTCTGTCTTTGTGTACTAAAGATGTTGGTCTGAGTAAAAGGTCAGAAATTTGCTTTCTTGGATTGTCAAGCTGTAAGCTTGTTAATGTCAGCTCACTTTCTATTCAGCGCAAAACCGTTCAGCCTATTTCTTGTGCTCCTGCTCTCCAATCATCTTTTGACACTCAGGTCTCTTCTACTTTCCTTTATTGAATACTGAAGTAGTACTATTTAGTTGCAAAATCATTTTGGGACTCTACTAAAACACTTGTTTCTGGAATAATATTGTGTCTTATTTTCATCTTTCTAGTTTACACTTAATTTATTTCTTACTTTCTTTTCAGATATGAACATTAGCTGTTAGCTTGCAATATGATGCATAACATGTATGAGTTAAAATTGTTCACCTCAAAGTGAAGGTAGTTATAGCTGAGAGTAATTGATAGATAGCTAAATATTGGATGTGTTTCTTGTTCTGCTAATGTAAATAACTATTAATATTACTATTATATGGATCTTTGATGCATATATGTAAGTGACATCTGCACTATTGAATAAAAATCTATTTTCAATATAATTGTATGTTCAACTTTTAACTCATGCAGACACATACTCAGAGTGAAGAAACAGAGACAACGGATACAAGTAAGTCATCCTACTGTGGTAGTTCTTATATGTAGGAGTTATTTTTATTGTAATAACAGTCGCTATATAACTTAGATACTGTTGTTTTCTTTCTAGATCAATCCGAACCTGTCCGTGTAAAATTTCAATTGAATAAGGAATGCACCTTTGGTCAGCATTTCCACATAGTGGGTGATGATCCAGTTCTTGGTTCATGGAATCCATCAAATGCAGTGCCACTTGACTGGTCAGAGGGACATGCCTGGACTGTCGAGTTGGTACTGAAATCAATCTAATTATGGTTAATATTTCATTTACTAAACTATGTTCTAATTCTTTGAGACTATTTTAGGATATCCCAAGTGGAAAAACCATCAGCTACAAGTTCATTCTGAAAGGAGATGCTGAGACTATCTTGTGGCAACAAGGCCCTGATCGAATTCTTCAAACATGGGAAACCAAGAAAATAATAACAGTTTCTGAAGATTGGGACAATGCTGAGCTGCAGACAATTGTAGAAGAGGAACCTGCTGCAGAACAATCCGAAGAATCTGCAGCTAATCCAGAAATTTTAATAGCTGAGAATCTGGTTCCATCAACAGTTGTAGACCTAGAAGATGATGTAAACGAGGAAAAAAGCAATGAAGTTTTAGCTATAGTCGCAGAAAATATCACTGAAGTAAAAGAGGATGTGAACACTGATCTAAATGAGGACACAATAATAGAAGCAAAAGCTATTGGCAAGAATAACATGGTGTTTAATAATGAAGTGTTAAACTCAAAAGACGAGTCAATCCTAATCATGCATGAAACAGTTCCTGTCTTGGTTCCTGGCTTAACCCAAGTTTTGGACATGGACAAAGTTATTGCTGAGACCTCACTTGGATCAAATAGTGAGGAGTTCAATGTGTTGTTGGATGAAGTTCAGATGAATAAAATTGTTGCTGAGGGATCACTTGGATTGAAATCTGAGGAGTTCAATGTGCCAGAGGTAACTGCTTAACACCTATTACAAGTTTCGTATGGAGAAGAAGTGTCTTTAGCAAATGTAGTTCTCTCAGTTTTGTCTTCCTAATAAAATGATATAGAGCTATTCTACCACTAGATGTTGAGTCATTGGTGCTTGGTATGTTGAATTACCAAGAATCAACAAAGATTTTTAGTTCTCTATATTCTTTCTTGATCACATTGTAAAACTTTTTGAAAGTTGGTATTCAAACAATCAATATCTTAATAAACTATTGAGACACAAAAACTAAAACTTGCAATCCCATTATGTCCTACTTAAAGGCCTTGTTATCTTCCTGAATATATTATCAGGACACAAGAAAGTTGGTTTCAAACAATCAAAATCTTAATAAGACACAAAACTAAAACTTGCAACCTCATTATGTCCTACTCAAAGATCTTTAATCTTCTTAAATTGTTGAGTATGAGGCTTTAGCTTGAGTTCTCAAAGGCATCACATAGCTCATGTATAGCTCAAATTGTTGATTGTATTTTCTTTATTTGTCAATTTCTGATGTGCTGATACTTTAATATATCCAGTTGAGTTCAAATGAAGAGGTAGTTACTGATTTAACACATCCTAGAGAAATCCCAGAAATGATGCTTAATGTCAAGCAAGAAGTAAGTGGGAATGAAGATATAGAAAAGTCTGAATTAGTGGAAGGAGGAGATTGGCCTAACGGAAAGCCCGTGGAAGAGATATTTGACAGTGATATGCAATGGGGTAAAAGAACACTGCAGAAGTTCTTTGCCAATTTGGGTTTCTTTAAAGTAGAGCTTGAAAGCTGAAAACAAGCTCATAGAAAACAATGTGTGGATAACAATGTCACTGATAAATGTATTATGGTCCTCTTGTTCTCTTTTTTTCCAAGGCTTGTATTATATTTTGTTCCAATACATATTACTATTCTCAAGTATTAGAACTACTATCCCACCACCACCACCACCAAAGGTTGTGGTTGGATGAATAGGATCCTTCCACCCTTAATCAAATGTTTCGAGTTCGAGCCTTAAAATAGAAGAAAAAATCCTGCTAGGGAGCGAGCACTTCCTCCTTTAATCGCCTTAATCGGTGTGGAACCGAAATAGTCAGATACTCCGATACTAGTACTGAAATCTAGGTGGAAACCAATAAAAAACTAACCCACCCGAAAAAGAATTCCCACATCGTTTTTGGTGCAGGAAAGCACCATAATTGCACGATCATAACTCTCCCTCGATTCTAACATAAATTGCCAGATCTGTTCACCATCCCCAATGTTACATGTTATTATAGCCACATTATTTGAGATCTCTCTAGGAATTCTGCCTACCCGGACGTAACGTCTACGCCGTTCCCTTGCCATTTGGCCAGTTACCGAACGGTTGTCTACACTACATAAAATATCCAAGTTATGTTTTGTCATTGGTAAGTAAACTTATACGATGGTAGTGAAGAACTTGACAACAAAATTATGATTAATAGTCACTGTACTGGCTATATAAATATGTTTACTTGTATCATAATGGTTCAATGCTCGAGTGTCGCATCACCGGCAATTCATACTCACACGGGATATCTTGGATTGTGACTGCTAGCAACATTCATTGACGTGGAAGCAACCACTATTGTAGCAACCACTATTGTTTGTATTAGTATAAACTATGTACATCACACCACGTAGGGCACAACCATTTCCCGTATCCTGCGTGAATACATGATGCTTTATGCACCTGCCCTTTTTTTTTTTAAATTCAGTGATGATTGTTACCATAAATGATAAAATCATCATGTGTATATTATGAATACAAATCTACACATGGCGTGCTCAAAACACATGCTACATCTACCTTAAGTGTAGCATTAAATGCTAGAAATTAACACAGGAGAATTAGCAAGGAACATGAACATCGACGTGGAGAGTAGCCTCTATATCCAACTAGTTCGAAAGCAGCCTCTATATCCAACTACTTTGAAATTGAAGCATAATTGATTGATTGTGTAGATTTCAAATAAAGTAACAGCAAGTTTCTATAGAAAAATATCTTGTTATCTTTCTACGAAGCTAAGAGAAAATTGCAAGGTAGAAACTATATACTTACACACACTATGGTTGAAACTAGGGCACCAAAAACAAGCCCTTCCATAAAAGATGTTGGAATCACTTTTCCAAGGAGAGTAAAAGGGAAAGATAATTCTCTGTAACATAGCGGGAAAAAAATTATGAAGGCACCAAAAAGCCAATTAGATAGTTGTGAAGGTGGTTTCGCTACCAAACTGTCTGCCTGGAGACACCAGTCAAAATTCCTGCTGTAGGACCTCCCATTATAAAATCACTTGGGTGGTGCTAGCTCTCTCTCTGGACATGATTCGGATAGGGTGGTTAAGATCTAACACAATCAAGAGATAACTAAAGTTAGTATTCACCAGCGGAAAACATGAACTCTTTATTCCAAAACTTGCTTCGTTCTTCATCAGTTAAAAATCAAACAAGACTTTCGAGTGCAGAGACTAAAAGCAAGGCAAAATCAACTTGGGAACTAGGGAGAACTTGGCTATGATAAAAATGTAATACTGTGGCCCTTAGGTTACCTGGGTGAATCCCTTTGACTCGTTGCCCCAGTAGTACCTGCACATGCTTGTTCAGCAAATCAGGATACTCTCGACACAGCAAGGTTTGAATCAGGTGCATCTGAGGAAGAATAGGAGATGGTCAAAACTCTCCACCCAGAGCACAGACAAGAAAAAGCTATTGGAATATGATAGCCTTCCAGTTAGGAGTAGACCATATTCAAGGACCAAAATAGAAAAGGAACAGAAAGAAACCCCAGCAAAAGTTACAACAGAACAGAACTGTGAGAGGAAAATAGAAGGGGCAGAATTAGGACTAAACACCACTGTTTTACCTCAAAAGAAGAAGCATGAAGCATGGCCTACGTTGCAAGATGAACAAGTAGGCCAACAAGCTCACATTTCCCTGTTTTGCTCCTGACTCTGATGCAACAAAATTCAAGGAGGGGTGCATCCCAGATAATCTCAACCCCTCATCCCCAAAACTTGCATCCATGCACCCCTTAGCCAAAGATCAGTCACGTTCTCAAAAACTGGGTAATCAGTCATGGGCAGCATCGCCATTAACTCCCACCTCCGGAACATTTACTTGAGGTACTCTATCCTCCACTGACCATTCATCCACATGATTGACAGTCTCCCACAAGAACCCATTTTCATTTTCCACTGAAAGCTTATTGAGGTCTTTATCCACTACTCGGGGGTGAGATGTAATGTATGAGACGTATTTATCTGCACATATGCATTATTAGTCTACAAATTAGCTCTCAAAATAAACCTGTATCCAGACAAGGTAACTTTAGAAAGGAAAGAATGTAAAGCAGCTCCCGGGTCTTATCATAAAATGACATTGAATTCAGAAATCGGTGTAACATTCCCTTTTTTACAAGGTTCGGAAGTAGGTGTAACATGTCAGAATTGATAAGAGTAATATATATACTGACATCACGTTAAAGTGATAACTGAGAAAATGAAAGATAATTTTGTCAAAACACACAAGAGACTATTCTTAAAAATTTACTGGACATGAGACACAGTTCTTAAGAATTTACTCATTACACAAATTCTCTTTTGAAATAGTTGAAGTGAAGAATGAATTTCCATCACACCATTAGCTCTTGATGCTTGTAACAAGTTACATCAAGAAATTCAGGGGAACATTTTAACAGGATCTTACCAGCCAAGTTACGAAGAGCATTCTCAGCTGCCTGTTGCTGAGCATCCTTCCTAGTCTTACCCATTCCAACACCAACTCTCTCACCGGTGAAGAAGACCTAAAGATGACTCAGGCTCAGAATTCTGGATACAAAAACCTTATGCTGCTTGTCTAAATTCAGAAGCCAATATGATAATGCACTTTTATGAACAATAATGAAAGGAGCAGGCAAAAAACAAAGAAAATTTTCTTCCCAGTTCAGATGCAACACTCTCATATCAAAACGAATATCTTGAAAGAGAGACATTAACAGACAGTTCATAACACATGCCTCACATAGTATTTAAGTGAGGCATATCAAAACGAATATCTTGAAAGCGAGACATTAACACATGCCTCGCTTGCCGATTTTCAAAGTCATCACAGCCCATGCCTCATATAATAATAAATTTCAATTGTCTCAACTAAAACATACAGACACATGAATATCACATCGCACACTAATTTCAAGTATCCCATCAACATCAAAGGTATAAACTCCACTAATATTATCACAGCATATTGTATCACTTATAGTTTTTTTTTCTAAAAGAAATTTGTTTTGATTAATTTGTTAAATGTATAGCAAACTACCATAACTGTCTTAACAAGGATATAAAATCCATGGAGCCATTACCTTGCACGCTACTTCCTAGTATCCCATCAGTATATAAGAAGAGGAACAGTATTATCAGTGAAAACTAGAGCTGCATTTAGCAGAATTTTATCTTCAAATTTTGATGATAACAATGCAATTAATGAGTCCCTGAAAATGGCTTCAGATAAGTAAAACTTTCTACAGTAGAAAATGCTCTAACCTCAACTGAAAATTGCAATTCCTCACTGGTGCTCACCACAGGCCTGAACTCAACCTACACAGCAAGACACAGTGGTGGAGCTCTTACTATGACAACCAAGAAAAATCAACAAGAGCAGAGAATGGTACCATCTTGGCTAAAAAGTATGTACCACATACCTTTGAGTTGCATCGCCGTCCAATTTCTTGCAGCACCCCAGTAGCTAAAGATGGTAAGAAGTTCATTCTCCCAGCTTCTGGTTGAGATTCTCTGTTGTTAAATGTTGACTGATGTTGAAAGAGCCTACCCTCTGTCAGGGTCAAATTACAATTAGCCTAGCAAGCATATATTATAAACTTGAAGAAGAGAGGAAATAAAACAAGGAAAAGGGGAATAAAAAGAGATTGTTTGTGTCAACTAACCAGTAAACATTTTAGCTAATCTATTTCTCAACCTTCCCCCAATAATCTCTTACTTGTTCTCCCTATACTAAACTAAAGACCAACCTATAAAGTCAGCACATCCGAGAATCAATATGTTGATTCTATTGTTCAAGATTATACAAAAAACTTCTTTTGAAGTCCTTCTAAACACAATCTTGACCAAAATAGATAAAAACACACCATCATGGCAATCAATAAGTATAAGTATTCATTCCGGCCTTCTTTATTTTCTTGGATAAATTTTATCCTTGCCCTAATTGACAAATAAACACGCAATTAGTTGGATTTATTACTATTTCGATAGCTGGGCTCAAAATCACAAGCTGAAAACTAGCCTTTACCCACATCAGTAGCACCAAAGACTGCAGTCAGACTTAATACCAGCAACCAACTTAACAGCATTCACACCCCAGAAGAGTCACTGACATGGCTACTTTATCCAAAGACCAAACACTATTGTAGTATGGTTAATAAATGCATTCCTACCTAAAGGCCTACATTTGTCCTTAATATTTCAAATCCATAACAGCAAATAAGGAATTAAAAAAAAACACTAAAACAATCTATAAGAATAAAACTCAAACCCACCTGTCTGTTGAATAAGAGAATTTTGTTTATGCATTTCATGCCTGGAATTAGTNCCTGTCTGTTGAATAAGAGAATTTTGTTTATGCATTTCATGCTTGAAATTTGCCTGCAAAGAGTCGAACATTCGAAAGGATTAGCCAACAGGAGGCCAGTTAACTATTTCAGAGGGAAGCAGTAGCAAGTACCTCTTCATTCTTCCCTGTAGATGCATATGTTGGTAACACCATGCTTGTTGCACCTTGACTGAGCAAATTCAGATGACCTCTCTGTTTATCAGACCTTGATGCATCAGATTCTTGAAAAATCCCAGGTGATCGACTACCCAAATGTCCTTTATTTAGGT